GGTACAATAGTTTAGATATTTATCAATTCCTTGTGTCAAGAATTGTGTACAGTACATTTTGGTTAAATTCCTATTATTACCTACAATACTTCAGTGTAATTCACTTATTTTGTGATTATATTCAATCATTGAGTCCATTTGCACTATTCATCCTTCAAATCACATACTTTTCGGTAATAATATCAGACGAAAGCTTATGATTTAAAATTATATTAATTTTATTTTCATATGTTCAACAAACAAACTAATACTTTATAAGAAAATACAGAATCTTTTGAATTACAGATATGAATAAGAAGTATAATTATTACAACAACTATTAAAATATATTCACATTTATTTACTACAGTTATTTAAAAGAGGTATTATAGTGTAATTTATCGGTAAACAACATAACATATTGTAGTTAGCATATTAGCACTGATTTAAAGAATATATAGTATATATTATAATATACAGTACTTTCAAGAAATCTTTACAATGAAAATAAATCCCATTTTTATCACTTAAACAAATTGATTGATTGACTCGTTGTTTCACAATAATACCAATTCATACCATATATGAGAAAATGTTTGATTATGTGATTACTTATGAAATATACGATATTCCCAATCAAAGTAACCAGAGGGTGGTTGTGGTGGTCCAAGTGGTTATCACAATAGGGGATGAGTTCAATGCATTCATTTAGCTAACAGTTAGCCCATCCCTTACTCCCCCTTTGTGTTCAATCAAAAAAACTAAAAGTTTATAAGCACTTAGAAATGTAATCAAATAAATATTGCATTATTGACATCAATATTATCAATCAATTTATTAATAATATTCAACGAACCAAATGAATATAAAATATATCTGGATTTTATGACTCAAATTTTAAATCTGTTATGCTTTAGAGAGATTTTACGACCATATGAATATAAATATAAATAAATTTTTAAATGTTTATAACAATTGTACTGTTAGAAATTCAGTGAATGTCATAAAATTGGATTTCAAAACAATTAACATAAATAAATTATAAACAAAAAATGCATTTTCCCATTGTATAGAATTACAAAGTTATTCACAGTATAAATATTTGTCTTACAAAGTTTTATTATCAAAAAAGTTTTTCAACAAATTAAAAGCACTTTCGAGAATTGCTTAAAAAGGAAATACCATTACATAAACAGTATGAGTGGTTCAGCATTAGTAGTGTTGTGTTTATTATATAAAATAAATAATTTGAGAGCCTTTTCGCTCATCCCATCCCACAGTCTATTAGTGAACATACATAGCCTGTGCTCAGTCAACCCAAACACTCAATAAGATATTAGATCTTTGATTAATTCAATGCCTTCAATGATATGCAGAGGGGCTGTGAATAGAGGCTATGTTTCGAGACAAAAATATTTCAACAATTTTAAGTCNATTTCTTGAAAGTACTGTATATTATAATATATACTATATATTCTTTAAATCAGTGCTAATATGCTAACTACAATATGTTATGTTGTTTACCGATAAATTACACTATAATACCTCTTTTAAATAACTGTAGTAAATAAATGTGAATATATTTTAATAGTTGTTGTAATAATTATACTTCTTATTCATATCTGTAATTCAAAAGATTCTGTATTTTCTTATAAAGTATTAGTTTGTTTGTTGAACATATGAAAATAAAATTAATATAATTTTAAATCATAAGCTTTCGTCTGATATTATTACCGAAAAGTATGTGATTTGAAGGATGAATAGTGCAAATGGACTCAATGATTGAATATAATCACAAAATAAGTGAATTACACTGAAGTATTGTAGGTAATAATAGGAATTTAACCAAAATGTACTGTACACAATTCTTGACACAAGGAATTGATAAATATCTAAACTATTGTACCTAAGTTTAGCCAATTGTCAACTCAATTCATATCTCATTTATCTATTTGTCGTATAAAAGTATTATTTTTATGATAAACTTTTTTTTGTATAAAAAGCTGTCATTTAAGATGTCATTCAACATGAGAAGCAATGATGGCATTCCAGTTGCCATTCTCAGTGATCGTTATACTAGCGGTGGCACCGGTGCTCATATTATGTCAACCCTCAGCCACCTCTGGTGATACACACTGTGACAACAGTCACTGCCCACAAGTAGATCCCAAGAAGTTGAACGTACATCTGGTTCTCCACACTCACGATGACGTTGGATGGACTAAGACAGTCGACCAATACTTCTATGGCTCGCATACCAGTGACATCTGGAAGGCAGGCGTTCAGTATATCATCGATTCTGTGGTGCAATCGCTTCTGGAGGACCCAAATCGGAAGTTCATATACGTTGAAACGGCATTCTTCTGGAAGTGGTGGAAACAACAGACTCATGAACTCCAGGAAAAAGTTAAGAATCTGGTCAATACAGGTATGAACGGCAAATTACATTTTTATATATTTCACTAAAAATAATTTATACATACTTATGATAGAAATTCTAAGAATTTATGCTTTTAGCAGAACTTAATTAAGTTTTACATTGAATTTGTAAAATGAATGAAAATGAAAGATATACTATATACAGGATATACTATTAAATACAGTATTATTAAATGACAGGTCAATTAGAGTTCATCGGGGGTGGGATGAGTATGAATGACGAGGCGGCTGCACATTACCACTCTATCATAGACCAGATGACATGGGGTCACCGGCGCCTACAGGACACGTTTGGACGGTGCGGTATACCGTCGATCGGGTGGCAAATAGACCCGTTTGGCCACAGCCGAGAACAGGCCAACCTATTCGCACAAATGGGTTTCAACGCTATGTTTTTCATGCGATTGGACTATCAGGACAGGGATCTGAGAAAGGCTGAGAAGCGCATGGAGTTGATATGGCAGGGAAGCGATGACCTGGGAAGTGCTTCAGACATATTCGCACATATTATGGATGTGGGCTCAGGATATGGTATGAATCGACGGATCAATGATATGTCTATTTATGTCCACACGAGTCAATAATCTGATTCATTGTCTGTTAGGTCCCGTTCCCGGATTCAATTGGGACGTAGCGATGCAGCCATTCGGTGGCGCCGACGACCCCTTTGTCGACGACCCCGAGTCTGAGGACTATAATGTGAACGAAATTGTGGACAAATTCATAAACTTTGTGAACCAATATTCCGTCTTTTATGGCACTAATAACGTGATGCTCCCAATGGGCACAGACTTCTACTTCCAAACGGCCGGCCCCTGGTTTAAGAATATGGATAAACTCATCAAATATGTGAACGCGAGACAAGTGAACGGCTCTAATATTAACGCTTTCTACTCAACCCCGTCCTGTTATGCTCATGGGGTGCATATGGCTAACCATACCCTCACCACCAAAAGGGACGACTTCTTCCCGCACGCAAACAAACCGCACGCCTATTGGACGGGATATTACACGAGTAGACCCGCTTTGAAACGCTATGAAAAAGTCGGCAATAATTTCCTTCAGGTCTGCAAACAGTTGGATGTTTTAAGTTTGAATAATGGAGTTAATGATGAAGTGATATCTGGTTTGAGGGAATGGATGGGTGTTTTGCAACATCACGACGCCGTCTCCGGTACTGAAACTCAACGCGTGGCTAATAATTATGCGCTTAAATTGTATAAAACTATTGAAAAATGTCAGTCAGTTGTCAATCAGTCACTGAATACATTGATTGCAAAATCTGATCCGACATTAAATCAATTATTTTGTAACGCTTTGAATGTGAGCGCCTGTGCTGTCACTGAAGGCACTGATAATCTGGCGGTTACTATATATAACCCTTTCGGACATAATGTCAATCCAGTTATCAGACTACCCGTCACTTCGAAAGCCTACAAAGTTTTAGATCCGAAGGGAACTGCAGTCAAATCAGATATCGTTCCCATTCCTCCCGCTGTACTGAATTTGGCGGAAAGGGTTAGTAAAGCAAAGGATGAACTCGTGTTTGAAGCACAGGAGCCTACAAAGTTTTAGATCCGAAGGGAACTGCAGTCAAATCAGATATCGTTCCCATTCCTCCCGCTGTACTGAATTTGGCGGAAAGGGTTAGTAAAGCAAAGGATGAACTCGTGTTTGAAGCACAGGTACCGGCCCTTGGATTTGCAACTTATCTGTTGAAAGCAAACGGACCACAGAATGGCGTAAATGAAGCGAAAGTGACTAAAATAACGGAAGCCTTTGCCGTAAAATCTAAATCTATGAACATTTTATTTGACAAAACGGGTGCTTTGAATGCAATTCAGTTGAACAATGGAAAGACAATTGAATTTAAACATAGTTTTAAATACTATAAGGCAAAGGACAATACTGGTGCTGAGCAACAAGCTTCTGGAGCTTATGAAATGCAAATCAGTTGTCAATCAGTCACTGAATACATTGATTGCAAAATCTGATCCGACATTAAATCAATTATTTTGTAACGCTTTGAATGTGAGCGCCTGTGCTGTCACTGAAGGCACTGATAATCTGGCGGTTACTGTATATAACCCTTTCGGACATAATGTCAATCCAGTTATCAGACTACCCGTCACTACAAAGAATTATAAAGTGTTGGATCCGAAAGGAAAAGATGTCAAATCAGATATCGTTCCCATTCCTCCCGCTGTACTGAATTTGGCGGAAAGGGTTAGTAAAGCAAAGGATAAACTCGTGTTTGAAGCACAGGTACCGGCCCTTGGATTTGCAACTTATCTGTTGAAAGCAAACGGACCACAGAATGGAGTAAATGAGGCGAAAGTGACTAAAATAACGGAAGCCTTTGCCGTAAAATCTAAATCTATGAACATTTTATTCGACAAAACGGGTGCTTTGAATGCAATTCAGTTGAACAATGGAAAGACAATTGAATTTAAACATAGTTTTAAATACTATAAGGCAAAGGACAATACTGGTGCTGAGCAACAAGCTTCTGGAGCTTATGTGTTCAGACCGGATGGCAATACACCGCTGGACTATAAATCAGAACTTCAATCAGAATTAGTGGAGACATCAGATGTTAAGGAAGTCCGCCAATCGATTGGAGACTATATTTCACAAGTGATCAGAATTACACCAAACAGTGATGTCATTGAATTTGATTTCGTCGTCGGACCCATTCCTGTGGACGACAAGATCGGCAAAGAGATTATCTCTCGATGGGAGACAAACCTCACCACAAATGGTCTCTTCTAATCGGACCCATTCCTGTGGACGACAAGATCGGCAAAGAGATTATCTCTCGATGGGAGACAAACCTCACCACAAATGGTCTCTTTTATACCGACGCCAATGGACGACAACTACTGGAGAGAAAGCGTGATTTCAGGCCCACTTGGGTCGTGAATATTACAGAACCAGTTTCAGGAAACTATTATCCCGTCAACAGTCGGATAATCATTAAAGATGTCAAACAAGACATTCAAATGACTGTTTTGAACGACAGATCACAGGGAGGATCGAGTATTAAAGACGGAAGCGTTGAGCTAATGGTTCATAGGAGAGACATCTTTGATGATTCTTTTGGTGTTTGGGAAGCACTCAATGAGTCGGGAGTTGATGGGAAAGGGTTACAAATTAAAGGCAAGTTTTGGGTGATTTTGTCCAATATTTCGGACTCAACTGAATTTCACAGACATATGGCACAGACTGTGTATTTAGAGCCTTTGGTTACTTTTGGCAAATATAGCGGTTCTGAAGAGGAATACCTGAAGAGCCATAAAACCCAATACTCGGGTCTCACCAAAGAATTGCCAAAAAATGTTCACTTATTAACGTTAGAGCAGTGGAAGGGGTCGTCATATTTGCTACGATTGGAGCACTTCTACCAACAAAACGAATCGCAAACTCTGTCCAAACCGGTAACCCTTGACCTCAAAGACCTCTTCACACCGTTTGTGGTGACGGCAGCAGTGGAGACGACATTGAGTGCCACTCAAGACAAGAAGACAGCGAAACGATTGCAATTCAAATCAAACGCCGAAACGAATCGTTTTGAACCGAAAAGAGTGGACTTCTCTGCGGACGACCTCTCAGTCACTCTCAACCCAATGGAAATCAGGACTTTTATTATCACTGTTCAGAACCGATAGAAAATTAACATTGTATCTATAAAATTAAAAATACAATTATTAGATTAACCGTATAAATAAATTCACACGAGTTTCAAACTCCAAAAATATTTGCCCTTGCAAAAATTTATTATGATTAAATGCACTCTAGGTGTTAAAAGCATATAAATACTCAAATGGTATTAAGTTTAATGCTGATTATGTGACAGGTTAATTCTGTGCAAATAATGTACAAATATTTTAAAGCTATTTTTGTTATAATTAATTAGTTTTAATCCATTTTAACTTAGTATTTGAAACTTACTTTTTGAATGATACTACATTAAAGTAATACTAAGTTATCTTTATCTTAAATAACTGTTAAGTTATGATTTTAAAATTAAATAATTTATTGATAGTAATCATCTAAACTTGTTTAAATACATATAGAGATACGGTATTAATATGCCCGTAAATTGTACCTAAAGTATTGCATACTACTGTAAAAAGATCACAATTATATTACAGATAAAGGCTGACAATTATTTTGATAGTAATGTCAACTAATATCATGTTTTATCAATTAAATGTATAACTATTTTGATGGTTTTTAAAATATATAAACAATGACTTACAAGAAAACTTAACCAATTAAAACAATATGACCAAGCATATATCTCGAGCACTTGTGGCTTTATTAGCAATGGGAGCGGTAGTTCTCTGCCGGCCCTCCGCACTGGAGCCGACCAAATGCGACAACAGTCACTGTCCGCAAGTGGATCCCAAGATGTTGAACGTACATCTGGTGCCACACACTCACGATGACGTCGGATGGCTGAAGACTGTCGACCAATACTTCTATGGCTCGCGAACTAACATTCAAAAGGCAGGCGTTCAGTATATCATCGAGACCCCTTCCACTGCTCTAACGTTAATAAGTGAACATTTTTTGGCAACTCTTTGGTGAGACCCGAGTATTGGGTTTTATGGCTCTTCAGGTATTCCTCTTCAGAACCGCTATATTTGGCAAAAGTAACCAAAGGCTCTAAATACACAGTCTGTGCCATATGTCTGTGAAATTCAGTGGAGTCCGAAATATTGGACAAAATCACCCAAAACTTTCCTTTTATTTGTAACCCTTTCCCATCAACTCCCGGCTCATTGAGTGCTTCCCAAACACCAAAAGAATCATCAAAGATGTCTCTCCTATGAACCATTAGCTCAACGCTTCCGTCTTTAATACTCGATCCTCCCTGTGATCTGTCGTTCAAAACAGTCATTTGAATGTCTTGTTTGACATCTTTAATGATTATCCGACTGTTGACGGGATAATAGTTTCCTGAAA